CACCACCCTCCCTCCACACACACACACACACACACACACACACACACACACACACACACACCACCTCTTGCCAATGCGCTTTTCCTCCGACGCCCCCTTCTCCCCAAACCAAACCGCCCACCCCATAGATCCGCCAACACGTGTGGTCCGCCAGACACCCAAACTACGCCCCTCTGAGGCCCACCACCCCATTCTGCCAACACCTCCACCCTGCTACCCATGCTGCCAGCCTGACTCCACCCCCCCCCCTCCTCCCCGACACCCGCTCCGCAGGTACGACCCGGACAGCGGGCATGACAGCGGTGCAGAAGATGCCACCGTGGAGGCGCCGCCCCCCTTTGCCTTCCTGACCATCGGCATGGGCAAGATCCTGCTGGGGGCGGCGGCGGCGAGCGCCAGCGCCGGGCTGACCGGGAGGGACGGCCCCGCGGCCGGCTGCACCGTGCCGCTGCCGCCCCGACTGGGCATCTGCCTGGACTACGAACGGGGCCGGGTCTCCTTCCTGGACGCAGTGTCCTTCCGCGGGCTCATGGAGTGCCCCCTGGACTGCTCAGGGCCCGTCTGCCCAGCCTTTTGCTTCATCGGCGGCGGGGCGGTGCAGCTCCAGGAGCCCGTGGGCACTAAGCCGGAGAGGAAGGTCACCATTGGCGGCTTCGCCAAGCTGGATTGACCGCTCTTCGGGGCCCTGGCTCCCCAAGCCTCCTGGTGCCGGCTTAGTCCCCGGCAACGTCGTGCCCCCCAAACTGCCTAAAACGTGGCCCCGACCTGCCCCTGTGTCTGTGTCTCCCCAGGCCCCTCTTCTCTCCATTGCCTGTTAGCCCTGCCCCTGCCCCATGCCCAGTCCTTGGCACCTAGGGCACCTAGCCTAAAGGCCCCGAAAGCGTCCCTGCCCATCCCTGTCCTGTGCTCCTCCGAAGGCTGGCCAGGAGGGAGGGCACCTCAACATCAGGTGTTATCTGCAGCTCTGCCCAGCTCCCTGTCCCGGGCATGCCCAATGACATCCAACCTTGGGGTGGACACTGGCCAGGCACCCCCTGGTGAGGGGAGGGGGACCCTGGCACGCTGCTTTACTTGGGTCTTCATGCCCCCAGCCGCATGCCCCATAGGCCCTTCCTCAATTTCCTGCATGCTTCACCCAGTCCACACTCATGCCAATGTGCCATGTCTCCCTTGGGGCCCCTTTCTGAGGCTGGATGTCCCCACTGGGTTGGGCCAGGCAAGGCCTCTGGTGCCCACTGGTGCCCACCCGTGGTGGGTACTGCTAGGCCTGGGCCAAGCAACAGCTGTGAACGTCATGGTTTATCAACAATAAACTGTGGTGCAAGGCACTTTTCTGCCTTCCCTGAGCCTGGCCTTTCCTCCTGGTTGCTGTGCTTGGAATGGCAGGTGGGAGGACTAAGGGGGCCCTGCTGTCCCAAGGCTGGGTGGCGGCTGCCCAGTTATTTTGCCACCTCCAGAAGGGGAGCCCCCCAGGCCAGGGCTCCTGAGCAGTCTGCTTTTCCCAACATTCCTCCGTCCCAAAGGTGCCCAGCCCCTGGGAAAATGAGGTGGAGGAGGGTAGGCACGGTGCCTGGGCCCAAAGGAGTCAGGGAAGCAGAACCACTTCCCCATTCCCAGGGTGCTGGGCAGTGGACCCCAGAGTCAGCAAGATGGGTGGGGCGGTGAGGGGTGGGGGCTGAGGGGGGACCAGGCCTGGCATCAGTGATGGATCTGACACAACCCTGCTTAGCTTATCGAACCCCTGTTGACTCTGCCACTGTTATCGCTACCCAAGGATTTACTTCACACCCGGGCAGCTAAAAATAGAGCTGCCTGGGGGCACCGTGCCAGGGGAGAGCAGGGCGAGGGCCATTGCATGCAGGTGAAACCTGGAGCCCGGGACCGAGAGCTCAGGTGAAGTCTGGTCACCGCAGCCTCCTCGCTGCCCGCAGGCCAGCCCAGGTTTCGTTTCCTCCTTCCTCCTCGACCTCAGGGATGGGAGAGGGAACTTCCAGCCACCCTGGGCCCCAGTGTCCCCTCTCCACACCTCTTGTTCCTCCTCAAATGAGCCCCCCTCTTTCTTGCCTCGGGGCACCCCCTCCCACGCCCACCCTGACCGGTGCGCTCATCTCTGGGTGCGCTCATCTCTGGACCACGGATGAAAGAACAGAGGCCTAACTTTTATTCAGTGAAGTTCCGATTACTAGCCCCACCTTTGGGGCTCTCTGGGCTGGCCCTCCCATCAGGGAGCAGCTTCTGCCCTGGGCATCTCCCCTGCGCCAGGGGTGGGCTTCACCAGGGCTCCCATGTCGTCGTCGAGAACCAGCAGGGACCCCTGAAGGAGGCTGTGAGCAGGTTACCTGACCAGCAGCAGTGGCAGCGGAGGGGGTGGGGGGTGGGGGGCTCTGGCCTGAGGAACCAGAGGCAGGCAGGCACGGCTGGCCCAGAAGCCCCTACAAGTCCGCAGAGGTAGTAGCTGGGTTGGTGAAGGACAGGCTGCTGCCCCCATTGCCCGCAGTTACCTGGGTGCAGGGAGAAGGGGTTCTGGATGAGGCTGGGCTGGGGTAACAGTCCCAAGAGTCTGGCCAGCCCCCAAATGGTTAATTCTGAGGGAGCACCTGCTGGCCCCAGGGCAACCAGGTGACTATAAACAGGGCACACCTCCTCCCCCTAGCACCACCACCCTCCCTCC